AAGCAGGTTATATTTTTGTAGATGTGAGGCAGAACTGCTGCAAATTTCTGTGTAATAATGTAAGTTTCAGTGTTTTGGTCACGCTGCAGAAGGAGAAGCAGCTGTCATGACAGATGTTTTGAAGCAGAAATTACCCCAAAAAAACAACACAAATCACTGATTTCAGCTTCTGAAATGGGAAATATTCTTCTGGTCTTCTAATATTAGACTGGAATATTTCAGATTTGAGACCCTGGTTCCTTACCTAAAAACCCCCCCATACCAAGCAAAAATTAAATACTTTGATATACAATGAAACCACCAGAGTCTTGAACTTTCTTTCATTTTCAGACTTGAAGTCTTCAGTCGTAACTAACGCTGCCTCATCAGACCAGTAGTCCGAGACCTGTGAACAGATTTAGTGTTATGAGTTCCTCTTTAAATGAAATCATTGGGGGTAAAACGAGCTATACTCAGACTGCTTTATTAATGTTAAAGTCTCATATGGGATTCACAGACAATACACTCACTGTTCCACGGTCATAGACGACCACTTCCACGCGCTCTGGCTCGGCACGCCAGTTGGGCGGTTTTCCTCGGAGGTCATGGGAAAGATGTCCTAGTTCCTAAAACCTTAGCACGCTCCCTCTGCCCCTCCACTTCTCTCCTCACTCACATCTCAACAGCAGTAACTGAGGCCAAGAAAACCATACTGCTTCAACTGGAGAGACGGACCTAACAGTCAATAAACCACTGGCTCGATTTGTTAACAGACCATGGAAACCCAGAAAAGCTCTCAGCAACTCATACGGACTGATCTCATTCCTTAACACCGGCTCTACTTTCCTCCGCCTCATCCACAACTCATTCCTCTGTACACCTCACTCACTCGGATCCTCCCAAACTAGGACCAAACAGGACAACCTGCATGCTAGGTGTGCACTGTGGAGCTGTACAATGTAAGGAAAAACAAATATATAGAGTTAAAACAAACACACACTGCAGTGAACTCTTATTAAAACCTGATGGGGATGTTCCTAGAAAACTCTGCCGCATTTTTTTTTTCTTTCTTTGAAAACATAATCTTTGGCCTGAGCTCGGATTACAGGAATTCTTTTAGAGGAGCTCAACATTTTCAGGTTGAATCACACTTGAGACAAGAAGTGGCTGCTCAGGATTCAGGCCAGGGAAGCGGCTAAAGTCAGAGAACCTAGCTGGAGCCCAAAATAGGACAGAGCCATTGAGACTCCCCCAGCCCAATTTATCACAGCGCTCAGCTCAGAGCAGAGGACGAAAGGGAGGAACATCTCACAGAATTATCCTTTCATCCACAAAAGTCGGATGGATAGAGGAAAAGTGAGGGAGAAGAAGTGTGGTGGATAAAACTAGAACATGAGTGTGTTGTAGTCTTTGATTAATACTACATGAGTTGGAAATAATAATAAAAATGGATGAATTAGTCATGGAGTGGATTGGGAACGCCGCTAATCCGGATCCTTGTGATTTCCAAGTGTTTTGCGCAGGCTGCTGTCACATTTACGGACACACACCGCCTCAACTGGACCCCGTTTCTTACTCGCTTGCTCCCTCCCTCCCTCCGTCCTCGTCTCATCCCTTCACTTCTTCCCCTCTCTCCCTCTTCCTGTGTTGCAGTGTGATGTCACCATCGGGGAACTAATGTGCCGTATCCTTAGGGCGCTGCATTCCTCCTTTCCGACTCACACAGCACAAATCAAAGCCAGAGCTGACACACATGTACGCAGCTCGGATGGAGTCGCCGCCTCAGCAACGCCCCGACCGTTTCTCTCATCAGCTGTGTGGAGTGTTGTCGTCGCTCCGCGGCATTTGAACACATCTTTTCAAATTCATAATCTATAGTTATCAGGTAACCGTTCAGGGTTTGCAAGTAACCAAAGGCTAAAATAACTGTAACTCAGGTTTCAGTGAAAGTCTTGTCTCCACCCTCTACCTACAACCTGGAGATGAGATGAGCAGCCTCATATATGAAATGTTCATTAAGTGCATTGGATGCATTAACAGCTGTAACCCGTTTGCTCCAACTACTGAAGGTCCTGATTCAGAACAGCTGAGTGGATCAGATATAAATGTTATGATATGAATAAAAGTTTAACCGAGGAGGAGAGATTTAAAAAAAATAAAATAAAAAGGTTTCATGAGAGCTTTTTAGCATCTGAGCTTAACCAGTGCGTGTGTTTTGCCAACCGGGAGCAGGATCTGAAATAGAAACCGGCTATCAGAACTCATCCTCCAGGGCTCTGCTGCTAATGTAACTCAGGAGAAAAATGTTTAGCTTTCCAAAATTGTCCTTTTAGGGACTTCCTGAAAGTGCAAGCACCGTGATCCAAACAGGAAGCTCTCCCAGATATGAACTGTTTTGCACAGAAGCTTTTCTATCTCGCTGGCTGTCTGTGCGTGACACAGCCCACAGACACGTCTGTCGGTCACCGTCAGACGGCTAGGGAACAGAATCGGTTAAGAGCCCCGATCTCACCACTTTCCTGCGGTCTCTGTGAAAAAGAAACTGCAGTCGGATTAGCTTTCACTGTGACACTGGCCTCTCTGGAAACCACAGTTGGTGGAAACTTGTCCGGACTAATCTAAGACAGGATGCCGCAGAGCATTGTGTTTGAACACCTCAGCCGATAAGTACCACACACTCAGCCGAGTCAAACAATACAGAGAGTGTCAGCTGGAATGGGAAAAACTGCCACCTGAGCAATCCTCCTCTGTCCACGCACCGCTTCCTAAAATCTCTGCCTGGAAGAACTGCTATAAGCGTACTTCACCATCCCTGAAGCTCTGGCCGGCACGTACAATAGGCAAAAAAGTAAAAGGCTCATTGTAGGTCGGTGGCACCGAAAATGAGGCGCAGCAGCAGGGTGAAACGGCCTCTGGCAATCCTGGCATGCGCTGTGTGGAGCTTTTGATCCATAATGGTTTTCCATGAACGCTTTCATTCTGACCTATCCGGCGGTCTTCAGAGATGACCTCAATACGGCAACAACAAAGGAACCAGAGCTCACCGTGCCAGAGGTGGAAGACGCGTTTTCATAATGTCCGTTCTGTCAATATGAGACACCACGTCTTCTTATTTCAATTTGAAATGAAGTGCACTCGTCTGGTGGCCCAGTTTAAACCACTATAAAAACACAGCAGTGTGGTGTTGTTATTCTATTAGAGGAGTGAACTGACCTATTGTTTAGAGCTGAAACGACTAATTGCTTAATCGATATGTAACTGTTTTGTTAATCTGTTAATGGTTTATGTCAACAACAAAAAAAACCCTCACTCTCTGGTTCCAGCATCCACAATGTGAGATTTTCTGCTTGTATTTGTTTTCTGTCACTGTAAAATGGAAATATTTGGGTTGCAGACTGTTGGTCTGATAAAACAAAACATATGAAGACGTCATGTTGGGCTCTGAGGAACCGAGATGGGCAGTATGGGTAAGTATGGGCAGTAATAGTTTTCAGATCGGCAATGATAAGCCCTTCTATTGTTGGTGTAAACAGACTGATCATCGTATTTACACTGCAATCTTCCTGCATATTTTATGGTGTTTAACTAGTCCTACAACAGTACAGACAAAGGTCTATCAATATTTGATTCTTGTTTATGGAAAACCTCGCAAAACATTTGATGAGTCAATGTTTCGATTGGAGAAATTCAACTTCGTCGTTTCTCTAATTCGATTTCGGCAAAGATTCCTCTGCGTGCGCCCGTTTCTGCATACAAACACGACCCACCATCTACAGCATGTGTATGTGCAAATGACAAACACAGCCCACTTCACACAGAGCGGCTCGGGATTACATCACTTAACAGACGGTCAAAACCACACTGCGATGACAACAAGACTTCTGCTTTTACGTTAATGTAGTGTAGATTTGGGGATTTCCACAACACTTCCTTCCACTGCATTGGCACTGATTTGCGTTGCACGTCTTGCCACTTCCACTTCTGACCACGACCTGCAAACAGCTTGGTCAGCAGTCAGCTGTTCAAGCTACAATGACATCATACTTTCTCCTGTAGTAGCCTCACAAACACAAAATAAAACCTGCACACACACACACACACACACAGACAGACACACTATGGAAGATGTAGGTAAACACTCTTCTCGTGTTTTAATCATCCTGTGTAGACACACAAATGGGAGTAGTCCAGTTGGTGCATGGCAGAGGAGTTTTTTGCGGGGTTCAGATGGGCTACCGGTGGTTTTTGTTAGGGGGGGGGGGCTGAGACAAGACCAGGGAGCAAGCCTGTGTGAGATACGAGGGTCTGCGCTACAGTAGCCGAGCAGCACAACAAGGGTGTGGTGACTCGGAGAGAGGAATTTCCTCGGGACAGACTGCTGTCTTTAAAAAAAGATATTCAGAACAGGAAACAAAGAGTTGTTTTTAACCTGATAATCAAATGAAAAAGAGGGTAACTTATACGGTAGCCTAAAAGTGTTTAAAGACATTTTTTATTTTTTGCTTTCCAAGGAGTCCCATCCAGAGGAAGAAGAGAAAAAAAACCTATCCGAAACCATTCCCGATTACTGGTCAAACTGGTTTCCAAAAGAGAAAGAGGCGATAAAGTTTTTACAGCGAGTAAAGATCGGCCGTGCCTCCCTCCGCAGCTCAAGTCCTTATAATTAAATTACGTAATGGAGTATATTAGGGGTAGAGACAGGGCTGGGTTCGTGTGCTAGGAATACTGATATGATCCATATCTCCGACAGGATGTGCCTAGAGGTGAACAAACAGGAGTGTCCACAGTTTATGACATTTCTCCTTCGCGTTTCTATCAACCAAACGTCGAAATACTTCATCGATAAGGCTGGAAAAACTTTACTCGGCGAGTAACAGGTTTCAACCAGCCGAGCTCGTTAGCGTCTCTCCTGAGAGCGGTGGTCGTTTTTTCACTTACTTTTTCTTCGTACCTCAAACTCGCTTTAATAAGTCGAGGTGCTTTAAGGTGAAAGTAACAAAAAGGACAATTTGTTCTCTTACCTTTCCCACAGTGTGCTTTCAAATGCCAAAGACCTCCGTGTTCCCCCTCCTGCTGTGGCCCTTCCCTTGAAGCAGCTGTACTCGGAGTGAAGGACCGAGAGGAAGCGGCCAAACTGATACTCACAAGACCCGCCCATAACGCTGCGTTCACTGTCCCCTCGGAAATATAGAAAGGGCCAAAGTCTGAGCAACATTTTAGGAGGATTTATTGGCAGAAATGGAAAATAAGGTGTTTGCATTTGTGTATAATCACTTGAATTGAATTGAATTGTTGTGTTGTGTTTTCCGTGGAAGCTGCTATGTTGAACTGCCATGTTTCATTTTTGTATACTTTCTTTTTTCAAAATGTGAGACTACATTGTGACATGTAACCAAGCTACTTAACAAGAAAAAAGGGTAACAGGACACACAACATCAATACATAAAAATAAAGAAAGAAAAACAAAGCAAAGAGGGGAAGAAAATAACAACTTAAAAAAAACCCACACCCACTAAAGAGGTTACAGGTTACCTTTTTCATTATTATTATTTTTTCTATCAGCATTATTATCATGATCTATTTATTCCTAGGATTTGTTTTCTCCTTCTGGTCGTATTAAATTATGTTTATTTAACCTGGGTAGCTTGTTATTTATCAGAATTCACACTTCCTTAATGGGATCAGAGAGGTCAGTGACAGAACAGGTTAGAGAAATAACTGTGAATAATATGAATTTACCTGGATGGTAAACGCTGTAGGGATTGGAGGGTTTATAAAGGTGTTTATGTGACTCGTTATCTTTATTATTCTTGATATAATGTTAATATTTGAAAACTGCCATGTTACTTCAGTGGCCCAGAACGGACAAACCAAATAGTGGCTCCAGACAGGGACTTTGCATTTTGGTAGTTTCTCCTTCGCACTTGGAAGGAGAGGGTGAGACAAGGGAGTTGCAATCTGCAACTAAACCGCTAGACGCCACAGAATCCTACACATTGGTCATTTAAATTTAGCCTTTCATTTTGCTCTCAGGCTCAGTAGTAATAGTTACTATATAATTATATAATAGTAATAGTATTTTAAAGATTCATGGATTACTTGTTTGTTGTATATGCAACGTCAGAAAATAGTAAACATAACTTTTCAAATACTTTATTTTATTTGGCCAACAGCCCCAAACCAAAATATATTCAACACTATTACTTATGATAAAGAAAAGTACCAAATCCTCACATTTGAGAATATGCACCATACATACATTGAACATACAAATTGCAAAAATACTGAAAAACACAGAACTGGAGGGTTCTTTTTCCATCGGGGAACTAAATGACTGATTAGTGAAAATTCCCGACTGCACCTGAATGCAGCACGCTGTGTCGGCTGTTTGAGATTCCAGCGCCTGCACGCTATTGGCCGAGAGGATTTAACCGTTACAAGGACCCCTCCCCTTTACGGTTAGAGAATAATGACATCATTTATATTAAGAGGAGGCCTGACATTTAAATTGTCAGCAGCATGAGTTGGGGTATTTCTAACAAGCAATGTTTCTGTGTTATTCAGTGTTTTGTAAAATGTTACTATTATTATTATCATTATTATTATTCCTCCATGTGTAAGGAAATGGACTCTGACCCAAAGTGCTTTTCTCCCACAGTGCAACAGGAAATCACACTGCAGGGATTTGAGCTTTTTAACATGCCGTTCTCTCAATGAGGTCGTAAGTTCATTCGCCCTACAGTGCAGCACGCTGTAAAAACACACAGCAGCTCCGGGGCAAGGAGAACATTTCATTACATATAGTATGCAGATTATTAACCCACAGTAGCCTATTATAACTCACACTGCATATCAAGATACACTTCTTTTAAAGTCAAATCAAGATGTTTTATTGCACCCAAAGAAAACACCCAGCGGCACATTTCTAGTGCATTGATTTTGCTTTCTCATGGGGGGGTGGGGTTGAAAACAAAAACTTTAGTTGTTTGAAACCAAATAACCCTATCCAACAACAAACGCTGAATGTATTTTACGTCTCTGCATCCTGGCATTTTGACAATTAAATTTGGGACAGTTCTCTGCAGTTTCCATGGTAATACCCACATACTGTAGTTTCAGATGAAACGGTGCACAGTGGCACCTCCCAGTCCCATAGATTACTGATGCTATTTCTGTAAGCTGTCTGGGAGGGGGAGCTGCTGGCTGATGTGTGTTGACTGGAGAAAGATGAGTGTTTGAAGTGCAGCTACAGTTCAGAGAGAACATAACCCTGCAGATGAATTCACAACACCCCTATACTCTCCATCAAACTCCCTCTGTGCCTCTATAACCTGCTATTTTGACACTAAGTGATGAATCAGCTGATTCGGTAAATGTAGATCATTTGATTGTTTGGAGACATCTATAGTGCTGGGAACTTTAAATATTTACTTGAATCAGTGCACACACACACACACAGTTTTGAGTCTAAATAAAAAAACATTGTCAGGTTTTTGGGAGTCGGTGAAATCAATTAATTTCAGCAGAGCTTCGGCACTCAGTCAAGTTGCTTGTGGAGGTTAAATAAATGTGTTTTCACGCAGGAATAAACTTCCACATGTAAATTCATACCACTGACTGGTAAGTCATCAGTGCAGAGGGACCTGGTCCAATATAGAGAGCAAGCTATCATAGCTCTGTCACACCATCCAATTTACAAAACCGTGCCCTGCCAGAGTATAAACTGCTCCAGAGACGTGGCCTGGTTTGTAGTCAAGCATGAGACAGGAGTGGATGGTACAAATATATTCCCTTGAATTAAAGCAGTCAGAAGTAGTCACTACATCACCAGCACACAGGTGACTTTCGAAGTGTTTTTATCATGAGAGTAGCCGAAATAAAAAATATTAGAATACTAAAGGAACATTAACAATAAGGCCACAGAAACCTGTTTTACCAAACTCTGTCAGCAGTGTCTGCAGGCTGGCATGAGATGAGTATGGGTTGCTGTACCTGAACTAATAATTGAACAGCAGCATGGACCAGGCTAGTATTGAGTTTTAGTAGTCAACAACCTTCAGCACAGCACAGGAGCTCCGGATGGAAAAGAAGTCAAAGTAAAACAGCTGGATACATAACACAGAGATGTTACTAAATAAAAATCTATTTTTTAAATCATATTTTATAAGTATTTGAGATAGTTGCATCCATCACCAATCACTTTATTCCTCTGCTGGGTGGTGATGTAACTATCATCTGTACCTTATGAGGGTACATCAGACAGCATAGTCTTAAGAGTTATTGTTAGAGGGACACATTTACACCCTTGAAGATCAACCAGGACCATGAACAATCCCCTTATTTCCCTTTAAAGGTGAAATGGTTAAATTTGAAAGTTAATTTAAATCAACTAAAACTTGAAATGTTAAATTAAAATATAAAATGTCAAGTAGTACACATATCTCATAGAAATCAATGCACAGATTGGTACACAAGAATAGTGTACGGTTTAAAGGCTACAGTTTAAGGCAGTGTCCAGTGTGGCATATGACATTTTAGAAAGGATAAACTGTTGATCATCAAAGTTGCAGAAGCACCAACAAAAATAAATAAATAAATAAAACCCAGGTTATTGCACCTGTCTCTAAATCTTTCATAAAGATTTGAAACTGACATCTGCTTTTCTTCGCAGATAGGTTTCTATACCTGAAAGTGTTACGACACCAGGGGAAGGTGGGAGATGAGAAGTGTTCTCAAAGCAAATACAATGTCATAACCTTTGCATTTCTTTATATAGTAGTATAGTATCACTTTGAGAGGATTTCTTATGCATCAAAAGTTGCACATACATTCCCCTAAACCTTTCATTGATTTATCAAAGCTTATGTAATTCAGCATGGTGGCTATTCACCCTCAGGACCCAACATCAAAATATCAATAATAACTTTGTGGAACCCAGCCTCGACATTTCTCATCTTTTTTCCCACACTGGTCATTATGGATCAGTGAACACAGAAAACAAGAGAATGAGCTTGAGGCTGTGGTGAACTACTGAGTCACCCATCATGTCCCTGAGGAAGTTTACTTGTGAGAGTGGAGGTGGACTACATGTCCTCACTTCACCCTCCAGTCCACTAACACAACTAAAAAGTGAGGACACAGTGACACTTAGTGGTGGTACACACATAGTGCAAACTTTGTGCATATTACTGTTTGTACCTGGTAATCCTTTAGGAATAGTGGAAGAGAATCAATTTAAAAAAGACTGTGGACCTTCATCATGCATTAAACCAAAATATATTTAAAGTCACACTCTGTAACACTTGAATTAACGCAACAGTAATTGTTAAACACAACAGCATTAATAAGAAACAAGAAATTTGAAAATTTCATGATGAGCTTTGGGATTAAATAGTTATAGATGAATAAATAATGAAAAGGATCCTTATTTGCAGCAATCAATAAAAAAAGTAAATTAAAAAAAAGTGGATTGGGGAGGCAGATCAGACAATACGAAGTCTATGTCTCATATCCAAACTCATACATCTGCTAATGAAGATATTGACTGCTAGGATGGAAAGGAAATATGAAGTAATCTTCCTCAAAATATAAATATTTCAAGTGAAAACTTGATACTATCTATCTTGAAGATAGAGGAGACAGTTCTTTCTGGAAATATCAAATAAAGAGCCTACCAAAAGAATATATAAGGCCAAGATTTTACAGAACAAGTACAGAACAAGAAAAAAGTATTGATGTGTGAGAATGTAAATGAACCAGAGCATTTTTTCAGTACTATGCCATCAACTGTACGTCCAAACCTGACCACTAGAGGGCCCAAAAAGCGTACAAATTTTAACACCACTACTCTTGTCTGCTTTTCTGTCTTTGTGATTGCATAATAATTCTTTTTCCTTTATATAAGGTGCTTTAAGATACTAATTTTACCAACATTGACATCCCATGGACCACCTCTGCCTACTGTGCATGCTCATTCACCCCTTCAGAAGATAAGTTTAGGATTTTTAAACTAGGCCAAAACCAAATAAAAAGAATCATATTTTTCCACAAGCTGACATTTATAACCACCGACCTCGTCTGCCTCCTCCTACTCGTGCTTGGAGCAGATTTTTCTTCAAAATAGTGCTATTAGTAGCAGAGAATGTGGGCTCACTGG